GGGGTTGTGGGGAAGATAAAGTGGGGTTTTGGGTCAAAAAGTGGGGTTTTGTGGACAAAAAGTGGGGTTTGGGGGCAAAAGGTGAGGTTTTGGGGACAAAATGTGGGGGTTTTGGGCCAAGAAGTGGGGTTTTGGGGCCAAGAAGTGGGTTTTTGGGCAAAAAGTGGGATTTAGGGACCAAGAATTGGAGTTTTGGGGCCAAGAAGTGGGGTTTTTGGGGCCAAGAAGTGGGATTTTGGGGCAAAAAGTGGGGTTTTGGGGAACAAAAAGTGGGATTTTGGGGCCAAGAAGTGGGGTTTTGGGATAAAAAGTGGGGGTTTTGGGCCAAGAAGTGGGGTTTTGGGGCCAAGAAGTGAGGTTTTTGGGCAAAAAGTTGGGTTTTGGGGAACAAGAAGTGGGATTTTGGGACCAAGAAGTGGGTTTTTGGGGCAAAAAGTGGGGTTGATGCAAACCCTTTATTAGAGGAAGAGGAGGAGGAGGAGGAAGGTGTTTTTGGGGTGTTTTTGGGGTGTTTTCTTCTTCTTCCGACCTTGGTCTTGAGAAATGGGCTGTGAATCTCAGTGGTTTTTTTTATTTATTTTAACTTTAAAGGGGACGAAAAGTGGTGTTTTGGGGAACAAAAAGTGGGGTTGTGGGGCAAAAAGTGGGGTTGGGGGATGAAAAGTGGGGTTTTGGGGATGAAAAGTGGGGTTTTGGGCAAAAAGTGGGGTTTTGGGGCAAAAGGTGAGGTTTTGGGGACAAAATGTGGGGGTTTTGGGCAAAAATTGGGGTTGTGGGGAACAAAAAGTGGCGTTTTGGGGCAAAAAGTGAGGTTTTGGGGAGCAAAAAGTGGGGTTTTGGGGCAAAAAGTGGGGTTTTGGGGAACAAAAAGTGGGGTTTTGGGGCAAAAAGTGAGGTTTTGGGGACAAAATGTGGGGGTTTTGGGGCAAAAAGTGAGGTTTTGGGGACAAAATGTGGGGGTTTTGGGCCAAGAAGTGGGGTTTGGAGGCAAAAAGTGGGGTTTTGGGGCAAAAAGTAGGGGGGTTTTGGGCAAAAAGTTGGGTTTTGGGGCCAAGAAGTGGGGTTTTGGGACAAGAAGGGGGGTTGTTTGGGGCAAAAAGTGGGGTTTGGGGAACAAAAAGTGGGGTTTTGGGGCAAAAAGTGGGGGTTTTGGGCAAAAAGTGGGGTTGTGGGGAACATAAAGTGGGGTTTTGGGGCACAAAAAGTTGGGGTTTGAGGGTAAAAAGTGGGGTTTTGGGGAACAAAAAGTGGGGTTTTGGGACAAAAAGTGGGGTTTTGTGGACAAAAAGTAGGGGTTTTGGGCAAAAAGTGGGGTTGTGGGGAACAAAAAGTGGGGTTTTGGGGAACAAAAAGTGGGGTTTTGGGGCAAAGAAGTGGGGTTTTGGGATAAAAAGTGGGGGTTTTGGGCCAAGAAGTGGGGTTTTGGGGCCAAGAAGTGAGGTTTTTGGGCAAAAAGTTGGGTTTTGGGGAACAAGAAGTGGGATTTTGGGACCAAGAAGTGGGTTTTTGGGGCAAAAAGTGGGGTTGATGCAAACCCTTTATTAGA